ATGATGATGATGATGATGATGATGATGATGATGATGATGATGATGATGATGATGATGATGATAATCATGACGATTATAACCCTCAATCAGTCCTAGAGAAGAAGGCTCAGCGAAGTGAAACGAAGAGCGGTTTTTGTAACCAATAATATAAGGTATCATTTTTTTATATTCATGGATAGAAAGTTACTCCAGATTCTCCTTCCCTTCTCTACTATCGATGAAGAGTGAGCCTTTCTGGGTTTGTTTGGGGTTTTTTGTTGTTGTTCTTATTTGCCTCTTCTCTTTTGTTTTTTTGTTTTTGTAGTTTGTTATTGTTGTTGTTTTGTTTTTTGTTTGTTTTTTTGTTTGTTTGTTGTTTGTTTGTTTTTGGGATTTTTGGGTTGTTTTTGTTGTTTTTTTGTGTTTGTTTTCTGTTATTTTGGTTTGATTTTTTTGTGTTATTTTTGGAAAGGGGGGTGGTGGATCTTGATCCTAATGAAGTCCGAAAGGGGCAAAACATTGACAATTTAAATAGTACCATAAAATTCCACACTTCCCCCACCCCCCGCCCACCGTTTTCCGTATACTTATTTTCATGTACTAAACAACAATGATGATGATAACAAATACTGAGTATCATGATGACGATGTTCTTCACGATGCGGAGGATGGCCTTATGGCATTATGAGTAATTGTAGGTGTTATTAGCGACGTATCATACTGAAACTGTCTCTGAAGGACTTAAACAGAAATCCTTCGACATGAGAGAGCCTTGCTCCTAACAGACCCAGCTGGAGAGCAGCAGTCACAGTGAGCAGCAAATCATACGAGTCTTCACGAATAAGAAATACTGAAACCAAAAGAGAACCCTGCAAACTGCACACATCAAAGTGAGAGTGGAGCCTTTAAATGTTCAAAATGTGGCAAACCTTTCTCGGCCGGAATTGCTCTCATCGGCCGCAGCAGAAGCCACAAGTCATCGTTTCCTTTAATTCTTCAAGTTTTTTTTATTTTTGTAGAGAAATATTTTCCTCTATGGATGTAATAATAGTCATCGTCAGACATTCACGGACTAGCTACGTCGTACTGAACGTTTTGGATCGGTCTCTGTGTCGCAGGGCGTACTGAATGAATGCTTAAGGAAATAGTATTTTTATGTTAAATCAAGTGTACCTGCATCTGTCCTGTAACAGTTAAGCGCTTCGCCGTTGCACTCAGGAGACCCGAGTTCCATTTCCGATTCGAGAATTTTATCGAATACCCCAGCCTTTCTGCTATGTTGTAGTATTCCTCTCAGCCCGGGTTGGCTGTGACAGGCACGATGAAGATCAAAGTGCGCCTCCTAAATTACCTAGATTGTGTCGATGACGGTGTAAAAAGACTTACATTAAACCCCCTCCCCCCAAAAAAAAAACTGTAGATTTTTTTGATCGACAGGAAAACAAGCTTTTTTCCACCGAGATGTCAGGGGAATAATTAATGTCTCGCATTTAACATGATTCGTTAACATTAACAGAATCATGATAATATTCATTCTTTCACAGAAATACGGCGAGAAAGTGGTAGTGAAGAACACAACTCTCAACATGTATCAGGGGCAGATAACTGTGTTACTTGGACACAACGGCGCAGGAAAGACAACTACAATGTCTATGTTGACAGGTGAGGTTATTTCCCTTGGACGTGTAAGTTCTTGAAAGTCCTTGCCATGTTGTGTTAGAAAGATTATTGTCCATTTCAGTTCACGAGTACTGTACCAGATTTGGAAAATATATTGTGTACACTGTGCCCTGAAAAAAAAATGAAAAAAGAACCCCCCCCCAAAAAAAAGAAAGACTAGTTGGGCATGTTGTTCATTTTTCTCTGTTTTTTTCTTTACTTTTTGTTGTTGTTGTTTTTGGTTTTTGTTATTGTTTTTGTTTTTTTGTTGTTGGGGTTTTTTTTGGGTGGGGTGGGGGTGGCGGGTTTGCAACATTTTTCTCCAGCTCGAAAAGTATTTGAACGTTAGGGAGTTAGGCGCTTCACCACCACACGGAGATGAGCCACGTGCCCTCCTATAATCAAAACACCTTAAAATATGCAGTTGCGGGGGCCGTAAAACATTTACCAAAACAAAATAAGCGAAGTTAGATTTATAAAGGCAAGGTAACAAACTGTACAATTTTAAGACTAAATTATCACCACGTATTAGGCTTTCACAATTGCAGAACACAGAAAATAATTATAATCGTGCATTTATGATGTCAGTTTGTTAGTGTTTCAGCGCTTAATCAGCTGCTTGTACTATATGCTTCCCAGGGAGCTGGGAATGTTTCTGGGTGGTCTGTGGTCTGCTGAAGTAATAACATAGTGTAAAGCGCATAGAGCGAGCTGTGGAGCTGGGATGTGTGCTAAACGAATGCTATTTATTATCATTATTATGTTATTTCAAACTTAGTCTTAATGTTTCATGGATACACTTAAGAGAAGTCCCCCTGAAATGCTATGCGATATTGCTTAACACACTTTACGGGCTTAGATGAAATAAAACTTTTGTAAATCCATGTAATATTTCTTTAAACTACAAGATAATATCACTGGGTTTTTTTAACCTGGAGATTTCAGACTAGTCATTAGAAATCAAGGGGGGAAAACGTATAAAAGAATGGATATAAACATTTAAATGCGATGAATAGTATTTATTTCCCTTACGAAATCCCCAACATATTTGCCACTGTACTGCCTACCTACTAAGGTACTCTCTTCACTTGTCTTGGCCTGCAAGAGACTGTGCCCACCATTTCGAAACTTCACGGTGACATTAAAGATGGTTCCAATAGGGAACGGGATACCGGGTGCCACATTCTTCGAGATTCATTAGAGCAGAGGAAGATAGAACTAACGCTGACATTTTTTTTAACAAAAAAAAACCTCAACTAACAAAAGCATGTCTTCTTAATAATTATAATATACATAAACACCATTCCACATCATCACTTATCACCACCACCACCACCGTCATTTCAAAAATCATCATTGCTCTGAGATCCTTCATAAACGAGATCTACAATTATCTTGAACATCTATGTAACAGTTACATGTTAGAGCAATTATGTACGTAATACACTATTGTACACTATCATACGCACATTTCCCTACTAATCAGATGACGTCAATATCATAGAAATGTGCAAGGGACACAAAAATAGTATTTATTTCTACGTCAGTCATACAACAATCAAAGGCAGAGTTTTGTAACGCTCGGAGGGAGATGGTAGCAAAATAGTGTTTCGTATATTCTAGTTTGGTCATATTACATGATTAAGATTCATTTTTTATACAGATATCTAATATTTTGGCTTTTATTTTCTCTTAATTTAATTTTCTTAAATCTATAATCGCTAAGAAAGAGCCTGTCTATAAAAATAATATCGTTCGACTTCAACCATGTATCCAACAACTTAGGGTTACACATTTTCTTTTAAAGCAAGTTAATTCTTATTGTCTTCCAGAGTTTTTCAGATTTTATCAATAGTATCTATTTTACTTATTACAGAAGCATCAATCGTAATGCCAGTTGTTGATAACATAACTAAAACGCTACAAAAAAAGTACTTGACCAATCCGACAGACACACGGTTAAAGTAAAACACCGACATGACATTTCACGAAATAGCATCTTGTTTCTCTCGCAATCCCAATCAAACATCCAGGTTTCACCCCGCCTAGCTCAGGCACTGCTGTGATCAACGGTTATGACGTCAGAACTGACATTGAAGGAGTACGCGGCAGTCTAGGGCTGTGTCCACAACACAACATTCTTTTCGACGGGCTCACAGTGACGGAACACCTTCAGTTTTATGCACAGGTTCGTTCCATGTTGCTAGACTGGTCTGTGAAATGGTGAAATGGTAAAAGTTTAACTCCCCTATCAACACTGTTAGATTTTTAAGTGGCGGGACCTCCGAGTTTAACGTCCATCTCCGAAAGGACCCAGGCAATTGGGAAATTCGTGTAAAGTGCCTTTCCCAAGGACACAACGTCGGACCGAGCTGAGGACTCGAACTCCCAAACCCGCAATCTCACGATTACGAGTCTGGTAGCCTAACCATAACGCTATCAACGCCACAGACTGGTCTGTAATGAGCAGTCACTTGACTATCAATGCTGTTTATCAATTCTGTTAATTTCCGTGTGCATGTTGCACACGTTAAAGATCCTTCGATAATTGGAACTCGTAGAAGAATAAACCACAATGCAGGTACCTTAGTATTTTTTTTTTATTTAAAAGAAAATTCCAACCAGGAAAATGTACATAAAAGCATACCTGTAAAATAGTCAGGCACACATTCCTTAATTCCAAACTCATTGACCTTGTCTCTCCTTCTGAGTACGAGAGACATTAATGAAGACAGGATCTGAAGAAAAGGAAGTTATAGTACTTGGGTATTCTGCTTTCTCTGTGTCTACCTCAAAGCCAAAGTGGTATTATGTAAACTGCTTTTCTACCGTCTGCCAAGATGCAAAAGCCAATATAATATGATAAAATATGATATTGTTGTTTTTGTTTTGTAGTTTGTTTGATTGTTGTTGGGGGGGGGTTGTTGTTATTGTTGTTTTTTTTTGCTTTTTGTTTCTTGTTTGTTGTTGTTTCCGGGGTTGGGGGGCTTTTATTATACAGAATCACAGTACTATTGTTCTGTCATCCTTCTGGCTTCCCTCTCTTATCCTGTATTCGTAGACACAGAACATTCCAAAATCAGAAAGAGTCGAAAACTGTGAATTGTTCTGTTCTTCAACAAATAAGGAAATATGTTTATATCGGCCTGAATTGACCGCGGACCGTCAAAAATCTAAACATTTGAAGAAAAGTCGAGTTTTCTACTTTCCATTCTAGACTGCTTAGAATAATATTGTTTCGGATACATTAATTTTATTTCTGGTGTGTTCATTTGTCGCTTGATTTCTAAACCTTTCGATCGCATCACACAAGAAGACCGGGAGGGTTAAACATAACATGGCTTCTTTTATACAAGCTGGCATAGTGGCATTTGTCTATAATTGTTTGGGTAACGACTCGGTGGAATCAGGTCCTCATCAATTAATAGGCATGTGGAATTATCTGTATCATCTTCAAGCGTGTTTGTTTGTCTTGCTTTCGACGAAAAAGATATCCATCTATCTTGAACACAAGTCAAGATATTTGCGATTGAAGGAGGTTGGGGTCGACTGGTGTCAGAGGTACAGTTATCGAGAAAATGGCAGCCAAAGTTTGGCAACTTCCATAGCTTGAGAGTCCTTGAAAACTGAAAATTTATATTTTATGTGCTTTAATCAACAATGATCAATGAGAACCACAACAAAGTGTCTTTTCAAGTGGACATAAATGGTTTTGAGTCCCCCCCCCCCCAAAAAAAAGGGGGGGGGGGAGAGAAAGGAAAAGACGATAGAAAGTGCCAATCCATCGGAAAATATTCGTTGTTTCGATTTCGTTATTTTTACGAGCGTCTGATTTTCTCACGTTGCTTCAAATTTGTTGAATTTTTAAAAAAAATCACAACACAAACAGTGGCACACACAATAACCATGTTGTGCAAATGAAATGATTTTTTTTTTTCTAATAAAGATAAGATAAAATTAGTATACTGATATAAATAATACATATTTTTAGTCTTATCTTCTCTAACGGCCACCTATATAATGCTATCAACCATTTTTGAGTTCGGAGGTGCACATTTTAATGTACATATTTTATGCCCAAATTGACACATTTTAGAGAATATAGGAAGCTGGCTTCCGACCCTGCCTGTCAGTGTCAACTCGGGCTGAGGGGGATACAGTAGGTCAGCAGACTGATCGGGATGCTCGATAAGAATATTCTCCCCATTCAGGAATCGAACTTGGATCCCATGCATGCGATAGCGACGAAGTTTCTATCCACAACTCCACAGAAGCCGGTCCAGAGAGGCACTAAGTTTCTACACGTCAGATTATTTAGAATGGCCTTTTTAGGTTGTATTAGGTAACTTTTAAAAAAATGTCTTTTTCCACCTTAGCTCAAGGGTTGTCCTAAGGATCAGGCTAAAGTGGAGGCCGAGACAATGGTTTCCGAAGTCGGTCTCGAAGGCAAGGAACAGACGCAGTCCCGGCACTTATCAGGAGGACAGAAGAGGAAACTTTCAGTCGGTATTGCGCTCATCTTCGGCTCCAAGGTAAGACAGTATCGACGAAGCTTGATGTCTACTCTCTTTTTATTGTAATAATAGCTTGTGTGCTTTGTGTGTGTGTATATATATATATATATATATATATATATATATATATATATATATCCATATATATATATATATATATATATATATATATATATTTAATAGAGAGACAGACAGAGAGAGAGAGAGAGAGAGAGAGAGAGAGAGAGAGAGAGAGAGAGAGAACGGGGGGGGGAATAAAGAGAGACGAAGAGAGAGTGAGAGAAAGAAAGAGGGAAGGAGACAGACAGACAGATAGACAGAGGAATGTGGGGTAGAGGGAGTCGACCAAGCTGTTTTTAATTCTATCTAGTGCACATGACCTGTCACTCGATGTCTATGGTGTAACAGTTAGGCACTTTGTCGTAAAAACACATGACTCTGTGGAGTTTGATTCTCGAATGGGGACATTTTAAAAAAATCATATATCTTGGCCATTCCTTCAGGACAATGTATCCCTCTCAGCCAGGGTTGGCCCTGACTGGCATGGGCGAATCCTATCTCCTACTACTGTTATCTAGATAGCGTTGACAGGGTCCTTAAAAGACATTTAAACGCGCTTTCTCAGCTTGGCGTATTGGACAAGGATCAGAGCTCACTCCTTAAGATTCAGAACTTAAGACTATCAAAATCAATTTAGCGAGAGAATAAAGTAATATGACTTACTAATAAGAACTAAGAGTAAGACAAAAGAAACCAATAAGGAACGAAAAGATTGAGTTAATACTATTTGCTTTAATCATTAAAATGAGAAGGGGAAAAATGATTCCTTTTGTCATGACATCAAGTTAGATCTTACCAGAATGTCTTTTTTAGCATTACCCGAGAAGGGGTCCTGGTGTGGTGTAGCCGGACGGTTGCTCCACTGTTGTGAAATCATAATACGCGGGTGTGTCTCCGGCGGTGGTGATAAAATCGTCTGTGTTTCCCACCGCTGGTCCTGCTGTGGTGAAGTCGAAGTCTTGGTACTGAAAGGGATTCCCGGTAGGGGTGGTGAAGTACTCTTGGACGCTTCCATCACCTTCTGTGGTGAAAAAGTAGTCATCCCATGGGTAGTATGGTGCGCCCTCGGTGGTGGGGTAGTCAGAGAAATCTTTTGTCACGGGTCTTGCTGTGGTGAAGTCGAAGTCTTGGTACTGAAAGGGATTCCCGGTAGGGGTGGTGAAGTACTCTTGGACGCTCCCATCACCTTCCGTGGTGAAAAAGTAGTAGTCATACCATGGGTTGTATGGTGCACCTAAGGTGGTGGTGATGTATTCTTGGGGCGGTGCAGCGGTTAGTAACTCAGGTGTGGTTGGGGGCAGTGACGTTGTAAACACCGGTGCTTGTCGCCTGACAACCCCGGCTTGAGCGACGGCCAAAAGGCCAAAAGCAACCACGAGAAACTTCATGTCTTCTAAAGGTCTTTGCTGGAGACGATCTCTGAGTTTTGACGTCGAAAAAGATAAATCATACCTCGTCGGCAGCCCCTTTTATAGGAAACAGAAAATCAAAATTAAGAAAAAAAAGAAAATAAGGACAACCCAGAAAAATTGATTAACTCTAAGAATATACAGCTGCAACAACATACGTTCAACTTTTGAGAATGTGTACCAAAAGAGGCAGGTGGCTTGAATCGGATTACACCCTTGCTGGACAATTATGACGGTACTACTCTATCACGTTCCTTGTCTAGTTTAAACAGGCCCCGTTTGACCCCCGTCCCAATAACATACACAAATTGCTACCTCAGAATTACAAATTTCTATCTGACAGTTTTGGCCGTTGTGAGTAACTGAGAACCCGAGATTAGAAAGGAAATTTAATACTCTATCTGTGTTATCAAAATCGTAAGAATATTCGGAGTCGTTTTTAAGATACTCAAAGAATTGCATTCGAAAAAGCTTGACATATTATTGTGAAGCTCTAAATTTTTAATGCCAGATTTCTCAAAACTAGCTATTGAGCAGATAGCACTTTGTTATTCTGAGGTAGCAAAATGTTTGAGAGTCATGCCGAGTGTTACAAATAACTGTTAACATCTTGATCACCTGTTGGTTCCCTGAAAGACTCCACACTTTTATCGATTTTAGGGAATCATTACGTGGGCATAATTTTTTTATTTAAAAAACATCAGAAACGAAACGCAAAAAACTATGTTGGCTTTTCATGTGGGCAAGAACTCAAACAACTATCAAAGTGCCACTAAGGTCAATTCTAATATCATTTGTACAAACTATTACTAATAATTGAATAAAAAATAATTATAATTATAACAATAATAGCAATAATAAAAATTATGATTATAATAATACTAATAATAATA